CCTTTAAGAACTTGCAGCTGCTGAGAGTGTATCGTGATTCATTTCAATAATTTTTAAAGTTATATCTTAGCTCCTTTGGGGACATGTCTATTACTTATTTGTTCGTTTGTTTTGTTTGTTTTTGTTCATGAGCATGCGTTCCTATTTCTGGCCGTCCTCCATTCAGATGGTGCCGCTTTCACCGTCTGCTAAGTCAGTTACCATCTTGTATTCTTTCTCCACGTTCCTTCGCAACAGTGTTTGTGACTGCATACGTGCGCTTTCTTGCTCAAAAAATAAAAAAAATAAACAAGCTTTGCGTTGCTTTGACGTATTTACATGTAAAAACAGGCCAAGATTCCATGGGCACAGGCATGAAAACTCCTGTAATTAGCCGAATGCCATTAGCAAGCTTCTCCCATTTTTATGGTTTCACCGCAGTAGGGTGTCTCACAAATCACGTAGTGATGCCTGACAAATTATCCACAACAATAAAAATACGCAAGCAAACAAATCAGTGGTCACGCTTTGTCACATTGCAGGAGGAGCAACAAAGGCGTGCCAAAGAGACTAGAAAAAAACATACGCAGCCTTGCTTCTCACTAATTTTACCGCTATAACCTGACGAAGGATGTGAGGGCTACGTGTCTATCAGCTCAGTCAACAGTCTCGGTCAAAAAGTCCAAAGGTCTCGCTTAAACGTAACCGATATGTTTCTGAGCATCCTAAAACCTACGCGTCAAGGAATAGCGGGAGAAGAGGAGACGAGAGTGCGGGGAGGCGTTAGAACGCCCAGATCTGGTTGCAATGATTAGTGAGTGGACGCAAAGCTAGATTTCTTTTTCTCTCTACTCACACTTCCAAGGCGTTCAATTGCCTAAGGCCGGCGTCCAGCGCTCGGCGTTCGCATTCGAACTCATTCGAACAGCGAGTAGAGACAAAACCAGCTAGCTATACGTCTACCCACTAATATTTCCAATAAGAGCTTATAGCGTTTTGACGCCCAGCGCGCTCTCGCCACCTTCTCTCTTTTAGTTTCTTGGCGCATTGAAAATCGCTAATGAAATTCTTTCATCACACTAACCCTCCAAAAAAAATATCCACGGGTGATATGTATTCTTCTAAGAACCTTTTACAGCAAAGCTGTTAGGTGCTAGGAACTGGAAAAGAAATGGGTCCATGAATGATAACAAAAGAGCTCCCGTTTAGACGGCGGTCCTTCGTTCCGATGAGTCCTGGCAAGTATGAATAAAAAGAGGGGGCAACCCGCGTGAGTCGGAATTCCTTGGCATTATTGAATAGTGAGGTCCTCATTCCTTGTTATCATCTATGGTCACCGACTTATCTCAACTAAGAGTGCGCTGTGAAGAGGCTGAGGGCGGAACGCGCCGATCTAACTTAATTTCGCTTCCGGGGTGCTGATAAAAAAACTTGGGCTATTAATGAGCATCACTGATAAAAAAAAACCAAGTTGCTGTAAAATCTTAAATAGTCGTATACCAAGACGTATACGTATATTATCAACCAACAACAGAACGTGTATCGACCTCACGTTTCGCAAGAACGTACCCGAAGTCAAATACAACAAATGGCGGTTTAGCATAGTGACCAAAAGGCAATGATCACTTTAGTCACTTAAAATTAAATAAAGACAATTAAAAAGCAAAGTGGTGTACCTGTCTTTATCGCAGACATATGTAAATCGTATAGATGTCGCATAGTTGTCGTAAAGTTGTCGTAAAGATAACAGCCTCGCTTGTCCTCCATCTCCACACGAAGTGCATGGGCTCTGCATTTTTTTTTCTTCTCGTTATACCCACTCACCGAATTTTTATGCTAATTTAATGAAGAAATACAAGATAGAGAGACCTTATATATAACAAGAAGAGCCACTAGGAGACAAAAAGTTAGCTCATGGGGTTACAAAACCCCGTGTCTATCAGTCCCAGACGAACCCTTCTTTTGAAAGTGTTTTGCTCTTGATTCAAGACACTTGAATATTTAAGGCCCTTTTGTAACCTGAAGGTTTCCTAGGAGCCTAAAAGAGAATCCTCTTAATTTTAGAGTGAACATGTTCTACTCCGCCAGCGCCTTGAGTGTCTGGAAGCTGTTGGGCAACGAACGAATCCCCCGTTGCCTCCGTAAAGGGTATCTTTTATCGTCACGCTGAACGAGAATCTATAACACGTTCATTGTTCATGGAGTAGCAGAGCCTGTTGTTGCGCAGAGCGACCGTTATAAAATTAATATGAGATTTACGGCCGCTGTCGCGGCCTTGTGCAAAGGCGTGGGATCGTCGTTAAATTCTGACACAACGTTGTAGAAAATTTTATTGTTGTTTTATTACTTTAGTTTGTTGCTTTGCTCGAGTAAAGCTGATATGGGTATGCAGAGAGCAAAAAAGCGCTTGGGCCGATGCCCCACTACAGGCTTTCTATAAAACAAAACATAATTGAATTTATGCGGAGGTAATGAATGCAATCAGCCCCGTCCGTCCTGGGTTGTGAGATATGCGGCTTCAGACTTTGCGCAAACCCCTATGACAGGTAATTGCATCAGGTTAACGATGGACGGCCGTAACACACTATCTGAGGGGTTTATAAATTGTATTACTACTTCCACTTATGGAGTATTCAACAAAATCACGCAATTTTTGTTTTAAATATTCGAACGGTGTTTGATTTACAGCGCAGCGCGCGCAATGCCCAAATCTGCTGGTTAAAGAACGGTACCAAGTCCCTTTCTATACAATGGCTACAATTTGTTTTACCTTAAGCACATAGGGAATGCCAACGATAGGAACCGATAGAACCAATCCAGCAGCGCTAATAGCGCAATGTCACGTTTTTCGTAATTCTTCTGTTTTTTTTTTTGTTTTTTTTTTGCAAGACTATCGGCTAAACCAATCAAGTGCAATGAGTGCGCATCGACGTTCCACATTATGCATTCGCGTTTATATGTCTACTTTTAGTTCACTCCTCCTGACTATTGGTTAAATAATATAGAGGACTGAACTCCGCATAAGGGTTGTTATGGTAAGTGAAATGCACGGTAATAAAAAGATTAAATGCTTGATGTGTTTTTGTTTTGTTCTTCAAATATTACCCCAAAGCAGGCGAGGATAGGGATAGTGCGCAGCGCTCCTTTACTTTTATTAAAAAAAAATGGCGGTCAGAGCACAGCTTGCGACCTAGTAATAAGAAAGCTATAAATTTGATTTATTTTGTTATATTATTTTATTTCTTTAAAATTCTGTGGTCTTTCAGTCTGCACATGAGTAAGTAAAGAGAACACGCGCAAAATAATAAATTCAATCACGCACTCACCGAGTGAAGCGAGCGCAGGAAGGTTGTAGGTATCCACGCATGCTCAAGATATACATTTTCACGTGCAAAACTTAACAAAACAATTCATTCCGCTGTGCTTAAAATACTTCAGGGTTACAGAAATCAACAACTTGCTCTAAAAGAGCGTTCCACTCAAAAATTGTCCGGAGAAAACGAGTATTTAATTGCATCATTTCTGTACTGGTAGGGTGAAATCGCTTTAGTTTTCCTCGTACTTTAGGACCGTGATGTTGAAGGCAAAATGTACAGTTCAAGATTAATATTCTTCAAGCCATTGTCCACAGCGTATAATTATTTTAATATACACACTTTCCTTTATTTCTTTAATCATTCAAGCCGCACTTCACTTCTCATTGCAGTAACTGGTTCAGTGCACACGTATTCAAAAAAAAAAAAAGAAGTGCCAATTACACTTACTTGTTCTATATGTGCGACCTGCTGCTTCCTGCACGGGTTCGATACGCACCCCGCATATTCCAATGTTGGACGTACGGAGCATTTATACGCAGGTGATCGAACATCTTCATTTTCATGTCCAAGATGGATTCAAAGATAGCCGAACTTCTGATAAGCCTCGGCGCTTATGTAATTCACATGACTATTCCAGCTAAAGTATTATCTAAAATAACTCCTTAATTCTTAAATTATTCTACTTTATTATGTTCCACGCCGCCTAGAGAATTATGGAGCTCAAATGCCTTTTTTCTTATTTGTAATACTGCAAGAGAACACAGTATACAAATAAATTACCCCAAAATATTTCTTACTCCACGAGATTTCTTCCAACGGCTGGGGACAATTTCTTGGTCCTGAACTATAGGCACTGCTGAAAATACCGTACAATATTTTGGGAACAATATAACTTGAACAGAAGAAGGGAAATTTGTTGCTATATCATTTATATAAATTAAGAATTAAAAAGAACCTAACACTAATCCTTGGGGTACTCCTGAGTAAACTGCTAACGGGGGAGATAAAACTTTATTACAGCTGACATACTGCGTTTGTCCCTCTAAATAAATAAGAACGTATCCTTGATATCAAATCCAGATTTAATCCCGAGACAAATTGTTCTACTAATTTGTCGTGAGGTACCCGGTCAAACTCTTTAGAATAATCTATAATTGTTCCGTCAACCTGACTTCGTTCGTTCATAGCTTATGCAAACTCAAGTGTGCACTTCATTAGTTGACTGAATGTTGATAGCCTTCGCCAAAAACCGTGCTGGTGTATATACAATGGCTTATTTTCCTCTAAGTATTTCTCTGTATGTTAAGAAATTTTGTGTTCAAATAGTTTTCAGCATGTCGTTGTTAAATATAGAGGGCAACAGTTTTGAAGGTCCCTCTTATTTTCGGATTTCTAAATGAACAAAATCTTTCCACATAACCAGTCTTCTGGTAACTTGCTCTGAATAAGGGACGCTTGAAAAATTAAATATTAATACTGCGGTACCCACTTGGCATATCTTCTCGGAAATGCGTAAAAGACATTGTCTAGTTAAGTTTCTTTTTTTTTTAAAGTTTATATTCAAAACTGAATTAAAAATACAACTTTTTGACAAAAAAAACTCTGGCATTTGGGAGACGCTGGGTGTGTTCACAAGCTAAACCGGCGGGGGATGTGACACCCCGAAGATAGATTATGCAAATTTCCAACTTTCCTACCCGTAAAATGCGCGATGGATGCAGTGTGGTATCACAGGACTGCCAAGATGGAGGCTTATCGCTTCCATCTGTGATACCCACGCAGGTGAGATAGCGAGAACAAAGAAAGGTATTCGGTGGATACCCCCGCCGAGACGGATAAGACGAATGATGCAATCCCCCATCTTCTCTGATTTTTCGCACCACATCCTCCACCTGAATGTTCGTTCACATTATAGGGAGATTATTTTTATGGTGTGACACATATCTGGAAATATTTGTGCTTAATGTATCCGAAAGCTCGCTTTCGGAAAAAAGTATTTAATTAAAAACAAAGACTTTTCCTCTATTCACCTTCATTAGGCTAGACTTACGCAGTGCTCTACTAAAGCAGACATTAAAACAAGGTGCGAGAAATCTCGTTTGCTAAGTAAATCAGCTCTGCAACGAAAACTTCAGGACTGTGAGTGAAATCAGAGTTATCCAGTATCCCGGTTACACAGGTCAAACCTCGAAAGTAACTCCTGCCTGGAAAGTATGATAAACACACAACACCGTTATAGTTGGTGATGAAATCTTCACCATCAGGCAACAACAAACCAAAACGTTTGTGTGAACCCAGAATCGTTGAAGGGTGGCTCTATCGTTAACAAATGGTTTATCGTATGTCACCAAATGAGTGACAAAGATACTCAAAGCTATCAGAAGTATATTGAAGAGGAACCTTCTGAAGTTCTCAGAGGAAAAGCCGACGTTTGCTCAGAGCCGTAGCTTTTTTAGTAGCAAATATCAAAGCTATTTTTAGCTAAACGTCGCATTCTACTCGTGCGACATCGAGCAACTTTTTCTTTATGTCAATGAGAACGTTTTTTCATTGTAAACATATGTTAGAAACAAACACTGAGTTGTCAAATCTACAATGTATCGCAAGTATCGCGTTGCTCGGTGTCTTAATGAAGCACTAATATCTTCAAGAAACAATTTATGATATATATTTTTACATTTTGATTTGAAATTGTGCAGCACATAAAAAAATAGACAAACAAAGTTTCTGTATCATATTTTTCGGGCTGTTGACCGCACCCGGTGTATAGTCCCCAGGGTTCAATTTAAGACCAAGCGTAAACTTTTTGCTTAGACAGCAAGCACCCGGTTCATAGTCCGCACTCTGTGCAAAGTCCGCCCTTTGTGCCTATTCATACACGACACACTTTGACAAATGTTTGTTTTGTTAGCTCATAAATAAACTTGTAATATAAATTAATAATTATTAAGATCCGCTTTCAGTAACAAGTCTGTCACGTCTCGACATAATAAACGATCTTGAAAAACGAAATTCCTGTATAGCCTAGACATACCGATAGTCCGCACAGCCTAAATTTTCAGCTTTTAGACATGTGTAGTCCGTGGAATATAGCCCGGAAAATATAGTACTTAGAATTTGTTAATGAGGAAATAAAAAAAAAACAAAGATGTTGAACATGATAAGGCGCAAGTGGTTCTGCTGGATCGAACGACGCGTTTTTTTTATTAAGATATAAAATACACAGATTGTAGGAGACATAAAAACGGTTTCAAATTTCACTAATAAAAAAAATGCGTCTAAAAATATAAACAGGGTACAAAGCCAAACCTCCGTACGTAAAAAAAAAAAAAAATTGTGTCTTTGTCGAGGATTAGCCTCGACAAAGACACACAACTTTTTAGTGTTGTTTTTTACAGAGAACGCCTCAGTTATATAATCCCCCTACCTCATATATATATTCACAAACTTCAAGTAACATTGTAGTGCTGTTTTTTGTATTAATATATATTACGTCTTCATTTTACGCTTCGCCCTTATTTTTTATAAAGCAAACTGACCCTCTCTTCTTTATTACACCGAAGTAAGACTCGACTGCATCTAAATATTGACTTATCTTTGTTTTGCAAAGACTTAGTCGAGTAGCGTCATTTCGTCTCCCTTGCTCAAAGCATAACACAACTCAAGCTGCACTCCGAGCTAGAAAAAAAAATCTCGCTTTGTCAGTTGAATAAAAAAAGGAAGCAGCCTCAGCGGCGAAAGAAATAAAGCACGGTAACAAGCGTCCGACTGATCCAGCTAGCAAATAAACAAACTAAGTAAGAACAAAATGGCGACCCAGTAAGTGATAACTAGAAGGAGGAGCAAGACGAGGGAGCAAATGAAAGCAACTTAATCGATTGAAAGGGGACGACGTCAGACCCGGATGAAACAGAAACTGGATTACTAGGAATCAAGACCATGTCAAACTACTTCTCTAGGTGACATTATTTTGAAAGCCGTATCATCCTGAGAAACTTGGAAACCTCTGAAATTTTGCTTTTCCAATAAATTTTGCTTTTCCAATTATTCAGTCTCGGGGCCAAGTAGACGCAATATATCTGGATATGTCCAAAGCCTTCGATAAGGTCAATCATGAGCTGTTATTGCTGAAACTTAGGGACTATAGCCTGAGTCCTGAGTACAATACTTGGTTTAGGAATTATCTTCATAAAAGGCGGAACTGTGTAAGGGTATCTGTCTTCTTGTCTCGACCATTCATATTTACGTTAGGAGTGTCTCAGGGCTCAAACCTTGAGCCTTTGTTGTTTCTTATTTTTATAAATCATTTGGTGTCGTCCGTAAAACACTCTCAAATACTTTTGTTCGGAGATGACGTGAAGTTGTTTCGAGAGGTCACCTCAGTCACTGACTGTACTTTGCTGCAGTACGATCTTTGTTCAGTGGTAGAATAATGCAGTTCTAACAATCTTTTCTTAAATCCGCGCAAAACAAAAGTCATGTCGCTGTCAAGAAAGCGTCACAATTTATCCTATGTATATGTTCTGGAAAATGAAACGATCTGTCGGACCACGCAGATGCGAGACCTAGGTGTTCTTGTGGACGACCATCTTTTTTTCCTTTCTCATGTAAACTCCATTGTCAGCCAGTCATTGCGCACGCTAGGAATAATGTCTCGCTTAACTAGACCATTTATCACTCATCACTGTCTCTTGAAATTATATAGTACCCATGTACGTTCGAAACTAGAATTTGCATCTGTAGTCTGGAACTGCATATCTATAACAGCAAGTGAAAGTATAGAACATGTACAAAAGCGATTTGTGCGCATCATTTACGACCGATATTTTGGAAGAAAGTGTTTTTATGACTATAATTCGATTTTAGCAAAATTAACATTGGGCACGTTAGGTAAAAGAAGGTCTATTCGGGATGTTCAGTTTTTACATAGGCTAATTCATAATGCAATAGACAGCCCTACTCTCCTCACCTGTGTTCACTTTCGCACACCACTTAGAACGAACTCTAGAAATCCTAGAGTCTTTTACCCAGACCTCATTCGAAACGCATCACCGGTTTCGCGTATCCAACATGTTTTAAACACGCAATTTACTGACGTCGATATTTTTAGTGCAAACCTGTCTTTTGGAGAACGATCATTTTGATGCCTGTGTTTTTAATTGGCATATATACACATTTGAGTGCTTTCATGTTTCTTTTTTTTCACAACTCTTTATTTTGTCTACTCTGTATTTTGTGTGTATTTCAATTGTATGTGCTTAACCCAGTAGGCTTTCGAGCTGTTGGTTAGCACAAGAGAAAAATAAACATTTATTGATTGATTGATTGATATACAATATGTAATTAGACTTCGTCCGCGCTGGTAAAACCCGTGATGCAATTACCGGGAAGGAAAGAAATGGCTGTTTTCTGTATTATTCTGAAAGACAGTTTTGAGGCTGGGATTAAAAGGACTATACTTTGTTTCACCGTAACTTGGCATGCGGCGAAGGTTACAGTCCCAGTGAACAAGTCAACGCGTCGGAGTGATAAACATGAGTATACTCTATCTCACTAGTTACGTGCAGTGCTGTCGAAGCCGCAGGCGGGATGGAAAAGAAAGCCGTTATTGTACGGATTTCGAGGGACGGCCTAATCGACAAACGACGGCTGGGATGCTAGAGAAAGGGTCTGGAATGGGAGTACCTCCTTTTTCTCTCCTCCAACTTTCGACTCTGTACATTCGGCACTGTCACGTGCGTCACCTTCAACGCTACGATTGGCTTGAGTGGGTTGTTCGTTTTTGCAAGGTTAAGACACGTTCACACAGCCGCGTCAACTGCGTTGCGCCGCGTGACGACTGCATCCCAGCTCCTGCCATTGGCTCGTAGAAAGGATCGCCATAGCAAGAGCTCGAGGTTAGCAGTTTCAACGTAGTCAAACGCAGTCAGACGCAACTGTATGGACGAGCCGTTTTGGTAATCCGAAGTATAGCTCACTGCACAAACACCAACAAAATAATTTACAATAAAAAATTCTACACTACATAACACCAATACGAAGAAGACAAATCGCGACTAAACTGTTGCCATATTTGTAGCGCAACATCTTGTACGTGCCACAGAAACATCTTAAAGCGTCGCTTACTGAGTGAACTTTGTGGGCTGGTTTGCGAGATTAAAACTATGCTTTCAGCGTGTAGCCGCAAACTGGGAAATGACTGGGGCGTTGTGTTTGAATGCGCTTCCGGCCGTGTCTCGCTGGATGAGAACCCAGGATCGCGTCGCAGGAGCAGCAAGAACGTGCCTCGGGGCTAAGGCAGCGCATCGGGAGCGAATCCAAAACTAATCGATAATGCGTGCCGGAAATGGTTCCATGCGCCTCGGGCAAGGCATCGGTCCGCTTCGCTGCGCGCCTAAACATAGTCGCTTCTACGTGGCCATACGCCGGAACAAGCAAAAAAACGAACTAATCAAAAATAAAAAAGGAACAAGAGTTAAATGAAGAGCACTACAATGCGGAGCTTATTTATCAGAGATGTGAAACTAGTGAAGCCGTACCCAAGCAAGGCAATACGCTGGCTAAAAGGGTGTACAACTCCCTGTAACGCCGAATTAGAGCGCAGCTCTTCAGGAGGCGGAGGGAAGGATACTGAGGGGAAGGTACACCCCTCCTCCCTCCTCCTCACGTTCTCATCCTGTCTGCTACACCTCCCTCCGAACGGCGTCGCCGTCGCCTCACGAGGGTCACGTGACCTCATGGGGGTCATGTGACGTCACCGGGGTCACTTCTTTTGCAGTCCTCATGTGTAACTCTTAGCAAAAAAAAAAAAAACAGATTGGTTCCCTAATATCTTTATTGAACATACTAAAATATAGAATAAAATATCGCTCAAGAAGAAAAAAAGTATGAGTAAATATAGGAAGAATCCAATCTCCCACAAATACTCAGATTTTGAAATCCCCGTCTCCTCGTTTCAAAACTTCTCAGCATTTAAGTTTCAATTATGGGCAATATTTCAGCTTATTCCTACCGTCTCACCAATTCGCCCACTTTCATTTTCTTGGACAGCCTTTCCCTATATTAAGCTGTCTTTATCTTTTCCTAATGATTTCCCCGGTATCATTTCCTAAAATGCCCTCGCTGCCGCCTCCCCACAGAATCTGGGCACTTTTGTTTTTTTTCTCTCGCCAGTTCCTCCTTCTACTAGCACTATTTTTATTCCGCCTTTTTCGGCCGTCCCTAAACTCCCCATTCCCCGAGACTTTGATCTCTCCCGCACATTCTTCCTAATCTCTTCTTCGTTTTGACTCCGCCCCGTTTACTCAGCTATCTCCTATTCATCTCTCCCTAACCCACCCCAGTCTCCTTTCCTCTCCTTTTATAGGCCGAACAGGGGAGGCGTTTCTCCCGTTAAATGTTCTTAGTCAACGCAGGAGCTAAGGCAACCCATCGCGCCGGAAAATGCGCAACCGCAAAAGCACGCTCTTCCAGCACTTTCCCTGTATCCAACTCTCTACCCAAAATTGTCAAAAAACCAGCGATTCCTACCGCCACGTGTTAAGATCCAGAAGAAAAACCGTATAGAACGGGGATGCCTGTGTGCGTCGGCCAAACATGTCGTTGTTGGAAGACAGGGTGTTTCTAGATCCACGAAGGGTGCAGCAAAACACAGCTTGTCTGATTCTCGAATTTCCACATATCTCAGTGCTGCATGGCGCAGTACAATCGAAGCTGAATTTTTGAAGACGCCGAAGTCATGAGCCTTTTCTCTAATATGCGAGGATTCCTATTGCTTTGAAGTTTTGTGGTACGGACGCAAGTAGCGCTAAGCGAATAGCAGACTAGATATTGGTTGATTAGGCAGCGAAATGTTGTTTTGAATCTAAGGTATTGGCCGACGTGAATCAAGAAGTCGATAAAATATTTCACCAGTTCGATACGATCGCTTGCTTGGGGTATTCAATGTTCACAAAGCAGAGTAACTGCTCTACCACACACCGGTACGATGCTCATCGAGAGGGAAGCAGACAGGGGCGTAGATCTAACCTAGAAGGTGTCCCTGGGGGCCGCAGACCTTTTGTGTATTATTGTACGTTAATCGCGACAGCCTGAGAACATTTCGCAGAAATTCTTCCTTCCAGAAAGCGCGGCAAAGCTGAATTAATGGACTGTGATCAGGGGGGGGGGGGGGCGGTTTAGAGATTATTGCAAACTTGATCGGTGCTGCAAAGGGGGCAGAAAAAGAGAAGTAATAACCCCATTACAAAGCACAATAGAGTCATTTCTTTAAATATATATATATATATATATATATTGTAAGGAAGAAGAAGTCGCACGGACAGACAGGCAGGGGTTTGACCAAGCGCGCGCTCGGCACGGGCGCTTCTTGAATGCTGTACCGCCATTCATACTGGTCGCATTTTCCTCCTATCTTCTATTAAATCTCTTTTATCAACGTCTCAACACTTGGTGGAGGTGCGCTAGCGATCCCCAACCTGATCATCTGGTAATTCCGACCTGGAGCTGCGCAGCGGACGGTCGACTGTCACAACCATGAACGACGATAACGGGAATGTAAGAGACCAGCGCCCCACCAACACTTCAACGGTCAAAACTCGCCAACGTGACCCCCAGGATTTCACCGGTTCAGCCGACGCTGACGTTCTGGACTGGCTCAAAAATTACGACCGGGTGAGCCAACACAACCGTTGGGACGACACCATCAAACTCGCCAACGTCGTATTTTTCCTCAAAGGGACTGCACTCCAATGGTACGACAATCACGAGGAAGAAATTAATTCATGGGATGCGTTCAAAACCGCCTTCGCAGACGTCTTCGGTACACCTGAACGCAGAAGACAAGCGCGGGACAAACTCTCCAGGAGATACCAAGCCCCCTCCGAAACATCGACGTCCTACATCGAGGACGTCCTTCGCCTCTGCGGACGTGTCAACGCAGCTATGCCGGAGGACGAAAAAATCAAGCACCTCTTCAAAGGATTATCCCAAGAGCTGTTTTCCATCGTCGCACCCAGGTCACCTCAGACCGTGCAGCAGCTCATTGCAGAATGCAAGCATTATGAAGACCTTCAAAGTGGTCGGATCTCCAACACCGGATTTGAACGGCTCCCTGAAGTTTCAACTACAACTGCCGACACTGACCTCCCCAATCTCATCAGGCGAATAATTCGAGAGGAACTACGCGACTTCTTGGGATCCCTGCGCCTCTCAGCCAGTTCTTCAATCTCGCAACCCAAGGCGCCTAAGATTGAACAGGTAATCAAAGACGAACTTCGTGCTGCCCTTCGTCCTATTTCTTCGTCGTCTCCCACATGCATGGCACCATCGACTTCCTCACCACCCATCTGCTCTTTACAGCACTCAGCACCACACATTTGCGCTCTGCAAACTTCTCACAACGTCTCAATTCCATCCACACGCTACCTATCACCCCGGCGGACAGAGGAATGGCGCACTCAAGATCAACGTCCGATATGCTTCTGCTGTCACGCCCCAGGTCATATCATCCGCTACTGCCGACGCCGCATAAATGCTGAAGCCTACAGTCGCACCCCACAGAATCAAGCTCGACATTCTGACGACCACGACACGCGCCGAAATTTCGACAACCACGGCAGTTCCAGTGACCGCCGCAATTTTGACGACCATCGCAACACACGTCCCTTTCCAGCTGCTGAATTCCGACGTGGTCGATCACCCTCCCCCTATCCTCGACGAAACCGCTCCGTCTCGCCGTTCACTGACGCTACTACCGGACTTCCGTCGTCAAACTAAGCAGCGCAGCCCGTCTTAACAATGGAGGTCAGGCTGCACTACCGTCTCCGGTCCTAAATCCTTCTTACCTTGGCCCTACAACTATTACCGTCTACATTGGAGAAGAAAAACTTTTAGCATTAGTTGACACAGGTGCTGCAAAATCCTGCATTTCTAATCAGCTTCGCCGCCGTTTACACAAAGTGCTCACCCCTCCACCCGCTGGACATTTTCTACGGATGGGAAACAGTGAACTTGTGCAACCTCTTGGCTAATGCACCATCCCTATTTCTATCGGAGGCACTTCCTATATCATTTTGTTTACTGTACTTGCTAATTGTGTCGTCGACGTTATTTTGGGATGGGATTTTTTGTCGGCCACCGAGGCATTCATTGACTGCGCCAGCCGCCAACTTCATTTGAGCACTCGGCAGACTAGTTACGACGTGTACGAAAATTCACCCATTTCGCTTCACACCGACGACGATTACCTCTTGCCCCCCTTTCCGCTATTGCTATCACACTCCTGCCAGACCGTCCATACGAAAGCACCACTGGTTTCATTGAACCCATTGCCAACTTTGTCGCAAAAAAGCCAGTTATTCTTCCCTACTGCATCGCCACGACAACTCAAGGACAAGTTTCTCTTTTCGTCACCAACACATCTACTGAGTCGCAAATTGTTCCCCGTGGTGCACGTTTGGCCACTCTAACATCTCATTCTTATACCACGCTTGCAACGCTCTCTGAACTTACATCTACGAGGCTACCGTCAGCTGCCCAAAGCACCGCCGCACAAGTTGCTAAAATGGTAGACTCTAGCTTGCCTCCTCACCAGAAGGAAGCCCTAACAAAGCTTCTTGTTTCGTATGAACAACTCTTCGATTTTAATAGCCGCTCTCTAGCTCAAACTTCGGTAGTCTCTCATTACATTGACACCGGCACAGCATCTCCCATTCGAAGCCGCCCTTATAGAATTTCACCCACCGAACGTAAGGCCGTCGACGATCACGTCAGAGATATGCTCCAAAGAAACATAATCGAGCCTTCATCCAGCCCATGGTCGGCCCCTGTTGTTCTCACTAAGCAAAAAGACGGATCATGGCGATTTTGTCTAGATTACCGTCGACTTAACAAGATCACCACTAAAGACGTCTATCCCTTACCTAGAATCGACGACACCCTCGACACTCTTCAGGGATCATCATTTTTTTCGTCCATGAACCTTAGAAGCGGTTATTGGCAGATACCCATGGCCGACGCCGACAAGCCAAAAACTGCTTTCGTTACACCCTCCGGCCTATACCAGTTTAATGTCATGCCGTTTGTCCTGTCCAATGCACCTGCCACGTTCGAACGCATGATGGACACTGTGCTACGGGGCCTCACGTGGAGAACCTGCCTTTGTTACCTCGACGACGTAATTGTTTTCTCCGCCTCATTCAACGAGCACTTGCACAGGCTAGAAGAAGTGCTGAATTGCTTTCTCGCCGCCAATTTGCAACTGAACACAAAAAAATGTATCTTTGCAGCTCGCCAAATTCAGGTCCTCGGTCATATCATTAGTGAAGATGGCATTCGCCCTGACCCATCTAAATTACAAGCTGTTTCCGAATTTCCATCTCCGAAAAATTTAAAAGACCTTCGGTCCTTTCTCGGCCTTTGCACATACTTCAGAAAATTCATACCCGGATTCTCCCACATCGCTGAACCTCTCAACACGCTACTCCGTAACAACACCGCTTTCCAATGGAATCGCCCTCAAAGCAATGCTTTTCAAGCCCGGAAAACCGCCCTAACGACTGTTCCAGTGCTCGGCCACTTCGTTCCTGGCTCTGACACTGAGATACGGACAGACGCCAGTGGCCATGGCCTCGGCGCCGTACTGGCCCAGAACATTTCCGGTGTCCAGAGAGTAATCGCCTACGCCAGCCGCACATTAACGAAAAGTGAACGTAACTATACCATAACTGAACGCGAGTGCTTGGCCGTTGTGTGGGCGATCTCGAAGTTCCGTCCCTACCTATACGGCACACACTTCACTATTGTAACCGATCATCACGCCCTATGCTGGTTATCCACCCTAAAAGACCCTTCAGGAAGACTCGGACGTTGGTCCCTGAAACTCCAAGACTATAACTACACGATTCATTACAAATCTGGAAAACGACACCTTGATGCTGACAGCCTTTCCAGATGCCCCCTTCCCCATGGGTCGCAATGTTCGAACTCCTCCGCCCACGAAGACACAATTGCTGTCCTGAGCTCCGTCAACATTGCACAAGAGCAACGGTTCGATTCTTTATTGCACCCCATTATTCAATGCCTTGAAGGTGCTTTGCCGCATCCTTCTGTGCAAATTCAGCGCCGTGCCCGTCTTTTTCAACTCAGAGATGGCATTCTTTATAGGCGAAACTACGACACACAACAAGGACGGCCATGGCTTTTAGTGATTCCCCGCCGACTACAAAAGAATCTTATCCAAGCAAACCATGACGACCCTACAGCTGGCCACCTTGGATTTTCTAAAACTTACTTTCGCATCCGAGGCAGTTACTTTTGGACAGGCATGACCCGCAGCATCAGCAAGTACGTTCGAGCGTGCCACCACTGCCAGACCAAGAAACGTCCTACCACAAAGCCTCCAGGTTGCCTACAACCCCTTCCCCAACCGCAGCGCCCATTTGAACGCATCGGAATTGACTTCCTTGGCCCCTTTCCCCAATCCACTCGCAACAACAAGTGGATACTTGTTGCGATTGACCATTTAACACGCTACGTCGAGACGGCCTCCGTTCCCGCCGATACCGCCCACGAAGTCGCAAACGTTTTTATCCACTCGATACTGCTGCGCCATGGAGCTCCACAATACATAATCACCGATCGAGGCACTCCCTTTCTATCCAACGTGCTCGAAGATGTCCTCCGCCTTTCTTCGACTGTTCACAGCGTTACAACAGCCTACCACCCACAAACAAATGGATTAACAGAGCGCTTCAACCATGCTATCGCTGACATGGTTTCAATGTACGTAGCCGATCATCACGACAATTAGGACATCATCCTCCCCTACGTAACCTTTGCATACAATACTGCACGACAATCTACCACGGGACACTCTCCCTACTACTTGCTCTATGCATCCGAACCCCTAACACCCCTTGACACGATATTACCCTACCAACCTGACAACTTCATGCAACCCTACGCAGAGGAGATTGTCTCCAGAGCAGAAGACGCCCGTCAGCTTGCCCGCATCCGCACCCTTAAATCCCAGCAGCAACAAAAACTGCGCTATGACGACCGCCACCTCCCCACTGCCTATAACATAGGTGACGAAGTCCTCTTGTGGTCTCCCCGGCGAGCACCGGGCAAGTGCGAGAAGTTTCTTAAACAGTTTGTTGGCCCTTTTCGTGTCATCCGACAGCTTTCCCCAACCAATTATGAAGTCGAGCCCGTTACGCCGCACCGCGACCTTCGCTCCAAGTCCTCCGACGTGGTACACATCAGCCGCATGAAGCCCTATTACCGCCAAGACTCATAATCTAAACGCGCCGGATGACCGGCGCTTACAACACGGGGGGGGATATTGTAAGGAAGAAGAAGTCGCACGGACAGACAGGCAGGTGTTTGACCAAGCGCGCGCTCGGCACGGGCGCTTCTTGAACGCTGTACCGCCATTCATACTGGTCGCATTTTCCTCCTATCTTCTATTAAATCTCTTTTATCAACGTCTCAACAATATATATATATATATTCGGAGCCAAGATTTGAGAAGGCATGAAGCCAGTTTTGTGGTACCCTTAAATGTGTCAACAGTGTATAATTTGTTTTTGCACGCCTTCATTACAGCCTGAGTGTTTCTTGTGCTTTGACATGTTTTAGCGGGAGTCACGTGGGCTAACTTCTTTCTATAGTTTCTTCTTTTTTGTTCGTGCCAACACAAGTATATTGAAATTTTGCGATCAATAAACTCAGCTGTAAATCAGTGCTGTGTCCGTGTTACTTCTTCGTCTAGTCCTTACCTTTTTGCACTGTTTTTAATTCTAAAGTATGCACCAACTCGCCGAAGCCTCACCTTTAACATTTTTGTTGATTGGAGAGACCAAACATTAGACGTTATTTGCAGCGAGCTCACATCTTCCGAATCAAGGTTGAATAAACACTTCATTTCTGCACTCTAAACTCTTTTCCAGATTCAGAAAGAATATTTAAGTGACCGTCGCACATTCGCAGTTCAGTCACGCCTGGAGGTTTTCGACCCACACACGTGTTTCCCGTTTTAATCAGAACGGTACAGCTCGTCTCAGAACTTCTCTAAATATGTTAACTAGCAAACACGCAAATCAATATTGCATTTTTGTCACACGATCCCTTTTGAAACTCATCAGCCTCGGTCCATACTTGAGCTTGGGCGAGTTGCTGAATCATGCTAACACTTCACGGCGCACAAAAGACAAGACACTGTAAAAATACATACACACAAAAAAAATAACTCTCACGCAGCGCTGACTGTTAACTATGGGATATATTAAACATAATCTTTGTTGCCTTTTACTCTTACGCAACACTGACGAGATTTTTTTTTTGTTTGTTTTGCTCTGCAGGCACTTTTTAACCTATACAAGCGGATTCATTCTACCAGAGTGCTGCGACAAATACCACAAGACCAAGTTCGTTTCCTCTGCAGGAGTGATTTATTCCTTCCCTCTTACCCGTGGGAAGCGTTACGTCGGGCAGACGGGTCGCTGTTTTAACGATAGACTTCGAGAACATAACAACAACGCCATTAATGCTAACCCAGGTCACCT